GGCGGCGGCAGGGTCGGCTTGCCGTGCCGCCTTCTCCTCCTCCTGTCCCCTCGCCAGCCTCCCCGCCTTTTCCGCAGCGCCGCCAGGAGATTAGAGAGGGGAGCCGGGCGGACCTTATGTAACTGTGACAGCCCAAAGCCGGGCTGCTCCGGCGGGGCATGGCCGGCTCGGGCGCGGGAGCTGCGAGGGAGTTGGCCCAACTAGCGGCGGCGTGTTGGTGTGTCTGTCTCTCTGTGTGTGTATTTGTGAGTGTGGTGCCCGGCGGGGAGAGGGACCGGTTCGGTCTATTCGTTTTCTGCTTGGCCCTCTTCGCCGCGGGCAGAGCCAGCAAACCCCGACGAGATGCCCGAATTCCTTTCGTCCTTGCTGCGGGACGGAAGTTCCCGATGACAAGCGCCGAAAGGCTCCCCAATTAGCCTTAATTAACTGCTCGTTGTTGTCCCGAGGAGGGAGCGCGCACGTGCCCTGCCACGAGTAGAAGGAGGCGCGGGGCCTTGGCAGCCGCCGCATCACCCGGGCCGCTCACCTGCCCGCGGCCCCGTTTGGGACTGGAGGCCGTAGCGGGGCCAACCCCGGCGGCTAGCAAGGCGCCTCGTCACGTGTCTCCTCGCGGCCTCTTACCTCCTGCCAGTGACGGCGAGGCGGACGAGAAGAGCGCGTTGCATTTGTATAAGAGCGTCGCCAGCTTCTCCCCCCACCCCCACCCCCGGTGCCCGCCTTTTTCTGACACCGAAGAAATGCACCTATAAGGAATTGTCTGCACAAACTCAGTTTCTGCCTTTCATGTTGCTGGTAGGGCCAGAACAGAAGAGCAAGTTTGAAAGAGGTTATCCTGAAACAAATTTACGGAACTCTCTAAACTCCAGGAAATCTGATGATGGCAACAGGGTGTGTTCTGTGGACTACTGCAGTTATTGTGATGACATTACTGTATTTCTTAGAAGTCATACAAGTGTTATTATTGGCTTCCCATCTTAAAGGGAATGTCACAGGTGTAAACTTCAGAATACTGCAAACGATTACCCCTTTCTTAAATTGTTTGCACTGACCTTCAGAATATTTTTCATGCCCTTCCAGTGTCCTGGTGACTTTCTACTTAAAGTTCATAGTAGAAAGAAAACTGAACAGATGGCAGATGTGAGGACATTCTCTCCTCCTCCTCTGCACTGTTAATTTCCGTATGTTTGTTTGACTTCATGCATGGCTGCTCTCTCTCTCTCTCTCTCTCTCTCTCTCCAGCATAGGGGCTTGAACGGGGCTGTGTAGGCAGGCCTCCGCCTGCTTTTTCTTGTGCCTCTCTTGCTTTTCATTCTGTTTACACATGCTAGATATGCAGGTGACTCTGTATCGGACAAAGAGATCTAGTGAACAATCAGAGCAATCTGTCCTTTCTTTGCGGCCTTATTTCTTAGACATAACCTCTTGGTTTAGAGATTATACAGGCATGGACTATATGTAGAAGAAAGGTTCCATTTAATTTTAGAGTATGAGCCTTTAAATACAAGTTTAGTGATTGTAGTTAACTGACTTCATGGCTGGAGCCTTATAGGTAGGTAGCTAGAGGCGCCAAGTCCAGATGCGGAGAGGGCTCCAGTGTTCAACAGCAACGGGGACCTCATCAGATGTGGATTTTCTTATCATTTTGCTTCAGGAACCAGAGAAGACAGACCTGGTTTAAAAATAAAAGATGATTTAGTTGGCCTTTCTCTTTTCCTTCACAATTGCACCCCACCCCCACCCCCTAATTGGATTATGTTCAGGTTGGTGTATCATTGAGATTTTTCCTTATGCAAGGTCAGAAGCAGAAAGCATGAAATATTGCAGAAGTAACCTTGGATTTCAGCAGTAGCCAGCTGGTCATAGGGGGCTAGTAAATGCATGCTGAGTGGGATTTTGTACAAACAGGTAAGTGGCAGGCAGTAAAGAGATGCTTCCTTCCTCATTTGCAGCCAGCACAGTCCAGGTAGACTGCTGAGGGGGAAAGGTTTCTCTCTTTTACTTCCAGTCCTTGGCTGCTTGGTATACATGTGTATGTATATATATGTATATAAGCACATATACTGTACATGTATATGTACAGTATACATCCATATACATGTATGCCGCTGAAATTTATGCTGACCGAGTTATGCTGATGTGATTTTTCAGCTGAATTCTGGCCTTTGTCTCTTCCTCTCCTTGCAGGCTACTAACATTTGCAGGTTTAATTACAAATCTTCTCTTCCAACATGCTACTGAAATATATTTTTGAATTTTCTGCGGAACCTAGTTGATCTGTTCATTTTATTTAAAAGTGCTTCTCTTCCACTTTCTATCTGGCATGAACAGTGTTCTCACATGCACACGAATAAGTGAAAAATGGCTGAAAAGCAAAGCTGGAAAAGGATTCTTGGACTATGACTTCTGGATTCCCTCAGCCAACATGGCCCATTCTAGCTGGGAGGTTCTGGAAATTGACATCAAAAAAGTAATGTGTCCAAAAGTGACTTGAGTATCCAGTGTGAATATGACCCCCCCCCTCCAAAAGTGCAAGAGACCCTGTCTTGGCTTGGCAGTGTTATTTTAAAGCCATATTGAACCCACAAAAAAAAAAAAAAAAAAAAAAAAAAAACAAGCGTGCAAATACATCTTACTGAGATGGATTTCCATTTTCTCTTTTTGGGAAAGCCAGGGGAAAACATGTGGGCTAGGTAATTCATTAGCTGGTAAACATGTGGCTGAGGCTGCCATTGATTCTGCTTTAGTATCAAAGGCGAAATTCCAAACGACTACAAGGAAGGAAGGGGAAGTTATTATAAATGTTGAGTCATTCAGTGATATGATATTGGCAGAGTCTTAACTTCATAGCGCAACATAAAACCTTGCTATTGCTTTTCATCTCAGCTGCACAAAAAGTCTAAAAGTGTATCAATCCTACAAGTACTTGCAGCACCGACCAGTTTCTTCCTTGACGTACCTGTAGAAGTAAGACCCTCTTGGTGGAATGCCATATTATATACTTAAGCCTTAATTTTATTCACTGTCTTCTACCTTCATGCACAGTCTATCCTTCTGTAAAGCAAACTATACTGGGCAGATTGGCTAGAGTGGCAAATTATGATTTTTCATATCTTTCTACCCAGGATTATAACTTTGGCTTGCGGAGGAAATGGAAAGAAGGACTGGGGAGAAAGATGGAGCCAAACTGTGTTGTAGCATTATGTTCAAACCATGCCTGAAACATTGTGAACACCACAGATTTATTCAGTTTATCAGTTAATAAATGCAGCACGAGAACGTTTTCATATTTTCTGGAGTCATCTCTTACTTTTGTGTCTGTAGCAAGAGAAATGGTTTGTATTGGGCAGATTACACAAACCACGTTGCCCTTGCTAGCGTGTCCTTCTTGGGACCAGGGCTATAGTTTTCTTTGTGTGTTCACAGCAGGTGCTCCTTTGCGAAGATGACATTTTTAAAAGTTTCACCATTTGAAATTATTAGTATAAATACATAGTTTTGATTTCTGACCATACTTACTCTGAAGCAATAAGTCGCTCTGTTTCCACATTACAGACGTGGGTTGGTTTTCTTGTGTAGTCAGAATGGCCCTGACCTTAAGAGAGACAAATTGTGCCCCCCCCCAAATGTTCCAAAACTAATCAGTCCTATTGAGGACTGAACTTAGGAAATAGATACAGTACAGTTGTTTCGCTCGGTCCTAAATTTAAAAAAGTGTATGGAATTGCAACATACGCATGTATTAGATTTTCACTCTGTATATTAAAGGTAAAGGTAAAGGTTCCCCTTGACAATTTTTGTCCAGTCGTGTCCGACTCTAGGGGGCGGCGCTCATCCCGCTCTTCAAGTCATAGAGCCAGCGTTTTGTCTGAAGACAATCTTTCCATGGTCACATGGCCAGTGTGATTTAGACACGGAACGCTGTTTACCTTCCCACCGAGATGGTACCTATTTATCTACTCACATTTGCATGCTTTCGAACCGCTAGGTTGGTGGGAGCTGGGACAAACAATGGGCGCTCACTCCGTCGCGTGGATTCGATCTTATGACTGCTTGGTCTTCTGACCCTGCAGCACAGGCTTCTGCGGTTTAGCCCACAGCGCCACCAC